GTACGTCGCCGCATAGACCGGTACATTCTCAGCATGTCAACGTCTGCCACCGCCACCTACGGTAATAATGGGGAGGCAGAAAGCCACTGCCGAGCCCAAAGCGGCGCTGGGCAACGGTACGCTGAAATACGCAGCGACCGAATACCTTTCAGAGGCGCTGGTCTACGGCACGCTGGGTATCTTTGCAGATCGAAAGTTCTACGCACGCAGCTCGATTCACCGCGGACGAGAGCCAAGGTGAGATCACCCAGAGCAGAAGAAGGAGGAGGCGCAGCACAAGGAGAGGAGGAGAAGAGGGAGGAGGAGGAGGAGGAGCAAGATGACGAGGAGGAGGAACATGGGAGGATGAGGAGGGTTCTGGGGTTCTGAGTTGGCCTCGCGCGCGTCCGCGTTGGGGCACGAGGTCCACGCAGAACGGAACACAGGCAACCACCAACGACGGTGACGATGGTGGAGGCGGAGGCAAAGGAGAGGGACGGGGATCAGGGGGAGGAGCAGGAGGAGGATGAGGAGGTGGAGGAGGCCATGAGATGAGGTGGAGGAGAAGGAGGACAAGGATCTCGGCCTCCGCGCCACGCGCAGCCGCGAACCTCAACTTCGAGAAGAACACGTCCCGGTGCAGCTTCCGACTGGCCCCGCTGCGAGGTGGGCCACCGAGCGCACACCCCACCCTTACGCCCATTTGCGGGGACGTTGAACTTACGACACAAAATAGCAACAAAGGTAAGAACAATCGTGATCTCATAACAGAACGATGAGAATAATGGCCCGTAGCGAGAGCGGGAGCTCCCGCCCTCTCCAGCGTTGCGGCGGGGCGCGGCGGTCCAACGCCTCCAATTTTCGCCGTGCGAATGCTCTGCAGCGGCCTGATGCCATGACCCCGAGCCCATCAGCCAGGCACTCCATCTCCTGCCGGTGCAAGTAGCAATCTTTCGGCGGCGTGGAAAGGATGGGGCTCGGTAGAGGGATTTCAACGCACCATCGCCCGAGGCATGTGAGCGGGCAAGCGAGCCATGTCGCGCATTGAAATGACACAGAGATGAACAGGGACCACGAACGCCTGAGGGATTCCATTGCCCTGGACAGATTCACTTTCCCCTGGCCCTCGCTCTCTCACACACGCCCAGAGTTTGAGCAACAAGCAGAAGCGTGCCTTACGTGGGGAGGACGTGGTGCCCTTACGCGAGGGCTCACGCAAGCCGCCCCCTTGGCACACCGCGTCGAGAAAAAGGGGCGCTCACGCGCGACCTCATGCGGGCGGCCTGCGTGCGAATGCCCTCGCAAGTAGCACGCCGACTTGTACATCGTTCGTTTGTCCCCAGATCCGTGGGCGCCGTGGAACAACGTCGCGGCCATAGATATGCGGCGTCGTGGTCTTTGTTGACGTCGGCCCCATGATTCTTCCTCGGCTTCGGCATCTGGGGAACCCGATCAGGTCCATTGGGCAATCAACAAGCATGATCTGGGATAAAAAGCTTGCCCTGGGGAAAGTGTCGAGGAACCACAAAAGGCCCCGCAACGAAAAATCACGACGTCGAAAGTTCATGCAGGGCGCTTCGTCCTCATTTCGGCAAGGTGGGGGGGCATTTTCGGGGCCCATGTTGCGTTAAAGGAGCTGCCCGCGACGAAATCTCAAGTCCTAAGGATGGGGTCGGGAATTCCGGGCACCCGCGTCGTGAAGAAGAACGGCGCCGAAGTCTGAGCTTCCGTCAGGAAAAGGCCCAGACATCCTCGGAATGAGAAAATGGCGTGCCATTGTGAGGAAGCATAAGGAATTCGCAAAACAAAGAGAAGGAAGACACGAATAAAGTCTTCCACCAGAGGCCCTCGGTAAAACCACACATTCTTCTGGATCTGGCTGCCTTTGAAGCCGCACATGTGGCCACTGGTTTTCCTATTCAGCCCTATTCATAACATTACCTCCTCTTGCTCGGCAGCCGCGTGGATAACACCGCGGCAAAATCGTCACCGGCAGCCGCGTGGATAACACCGCGGCAAAATCGTCACAGAGCAGCCGGCGTGCGTGCCCGGCGGGTCCGGCACGGCAGGGGAAGCGGCCTCGATGTGGCATCGCCCAGAGATGGCGCCGTCCGCCCGCGGAGAACCACGCAAGGCAAGATGGCTCCATCTCCTCCTCCTCCTCCTCCGCCTCCACTGCCCCTCCTCCTCCTCCTCCTCCTCCTCCTCTTCTCCTCGTTTCGTTTGGCAAAGCCTACAATATAACAGCTGCAGGCAGATTGAATTGGATGTGGAGTTTGTCCTCGCTACGCTTTGTGCCCTTTGGCGCCAGAATGTGTATGCCAGCCGTCTCAGTCCGTCCCCCCTCCTCCCACTCCTCCTCTTCTTCTTCCTCCTCCTCCTCCGCAGGCACACCAGAGCGAAACCGACAGCGCGTCCGCCCAAACGGTGGGTGGTGGTTTGTTGAAGCGGTGATGCTAATGACGGTGACTACGATAGGACCTAAGACATAACAATATCCTCCAAGAACATGAGACCCCCCACCAGCCAAACTGAAAAACATTCGAGGATGCTCACCCCCAGGATGCACGATAACATCAAACAAACACGAAGAACATTAGGGTACCCTCCCCGAGCCGACCTCGATCTGATTCCTCGGTCCGACCGTATAGTGGTATGCACTTCAAGAGGTGAGGCCCTGTGACATGAGGCCCCAGGCCGAGGAGGCCCTGAACTGTGCAGATTCAGTCAGGAAGCCCTCTTACTCTGCGAGCCTGCAGGGCCCCACCCCCAAGACCCCATCTTTTGGCCCTCCGAGACGAGGCGTCCACCAAGCGTGGGAACCGCTTCCTGTGCTGCCCGCCACTCCGGGCGCCTGCATTGACTTGAGGCCTCCTCCTCCCGGCAGCGGCCTCCTCCTTCTCTCTCCTCTCCGCCTTCTCCTCCACCACCTAGTCCTCCGGAGGAGGAGGGAGGAGGAGCGAGACGAAGGAGGCAGGATAAGGAGGAGGAGGAGGAGGACCAGTAGAAACCCAAGAGTCATCAACGATGTTGGAATTAACCCTCCCTCCAAGCTCCCTCTAAATAGGTCCCTGTAAGGCTCATTTCCATTGAGGGAACTGCCTCGTTGGAAGACAACAGTTTTTAGAATCTGAAGCGTGCCAAACCATTGTTCTGGGGATTTCAACGCCACGTATCATCCTGAATGCTGCGTCTTGACGAGCCAGAATCGTGCCAGAACGCCATTTGTGGGACTTCAACACAACGAACCAACACAACTGTTGCGCCCGCATAACCCTGAATCCTTCCAAAACACAATTTCTGGTAAGTGGATCATGGGAATCCGTGAAGCTCTTGCAACTTTTAAAACCGAATGTGCGCGGCGCTGAGGCGAAAACCACTTTTTGAGAAGAAGCCGCCCTCAATCCGGGAAGCCATTGCAAATATAAGGAAACGAATGTCAACGGCACTAAGGCGAGAGCCACATTTGAAAACCACCCGCCGTCAATCTGTCAAACTCTTGCAAAGTTTTAAAACGAATTTGCGCGGCGCTAATGTGAGAGCCACATGTTGAAAACCACCCGCCCTCCATCTGTGAAGCTGTAATCACTTTTTAAGCTTCAGTCATACATGTTGAGGAAGTCTCAGGCGAAATGCCCGGCCCGCCCTAAAAGCTGGCCTTGGGGTGCGACAGGGAAGAGTTATCTAGAAGGAGAAGGAATGGAGGAGGAGGATACGGGGGAGGAGGAGGAGGGGCGGAGGGAGGAAGAGGAGGGACATGAGAGGTTGGGAGGGGAGAGCGAGGGCGAGAGCCTGGAGGATGCGGACAAGGAGGGGAAGCTGCAGGCACAGGGATGGGAGGAGTGGGGGGAGCGAGGAAGAGGGAAGACGAGAAGTGAGGAAGGGAGGGGAAAGATGAGACGAACGAGGAGGATGATGATGCTAAGGAGGACGAGAAAGATGAAAAAGGGAGGAATGAGGCCAAATGAGAAGGACGGGGAGGGATGAGAGGATGAGGGACATTGATGAGAGTAATTGGCTGCAGCAGGAGAAAAAGGTTTATAAGAAGACGTGGAGGGTGCTAAGCAGCAGACGAACTGCTGACGATCATGGGGAGGATGAGCAGCAGCTGCAGCGGCGGGATCAAGAGAAGAACGAGGAGGATCACGGAAGAGGACCGGGTGGAGACGGAAGAGGATGAACCGGAGGAGCAACAGGGGATGAGGAGGAGGGACAGCGTCATCATGAGTTCGTCTGCGCTATCATCGGGTCGCAAAACTTGCCGCTCCTAGCTTTGAAGCCATCCTGGTCAATTTGTCATCCTCGATCGACTTTGGGCCGTCACTGGGCCCGAAACGGGCCGCCAGAAAAACTGGAAGATTGTGAAAAACCTTTTCGACGACGACGACAACGATGACTACTACGACCGCGAAAACGCCTCCCCCCTCTATCCCCCGACGACGACGACAACGCCGACTCCGACGGCGGCGGCCGGGGGGTAGCATGAGTGATGCGGATTATGAGGAAAACGGGTCCTGGACTTGGGCGGCCTCCCCCAGGACCAGCTCTTCGTCCTGAGTCGTTAGGGTTCAAGGTCCTTTTCGATCCGGATCCGTTAACGTCGAAACCTTTTCCCTTCATGGCGCGGGGGGGCGGCTGCGGATACTGGGGGGGGGGGGGGGCGACCTGCTTGAATCACGCCAAAGACGACACGGGCGAGAACCACGACGACGACTGCGAAGACGACGGCTGCGACGGCGACGACGACGACGACGGCTGCGACGACCGCGACGGCGACGACGACGACGACGACGGCTGCGGCGACCGCGACGACGACGACGACGGCTGTGACGACCGCCGCGACGACGGCGACGACGACGACGGCTGCGACGACCGCGACGACCGCGACGACGACGACGACGACGTCGGCCATCGGTCGACAGGGGGGGGCGGGCGGCCGTGCCGCCGGCAAGCGTCCGCGGACGACCGTGGCGCCCGCGTCCGGGCTCAGGAGCTTCACCAGAGCGCGCTGCGCCAGCTGCTCAGACTGCGTCGGGGGGGGGCGCGGCGCCGCTGTGGCCGCCGCCACCATTGGCGTCACCGTCGTCGTCGTCGTCGTCGTCGTCGTCGTCGTCGTCGTCGTCGTCGCCGTGACCATCGCCTTCGTCGTCGCTGTCGTCGTTGTCGGCGCCGTGGTCGTGCAGACGCTCATCGTCGTCGTCGTGATCGTTGTGGGGGAGCTGCTCGGTCTTCCAGGGGCGGATCCTCGGATTGCTCTTGCCGCGGCTGCTCCCTCCCACGCCTCTCTGAGCGTCGTGAGAAGAAGCGGGCACACACAAACACGCACACACACACACACACATCTCCACACACACACACACACACACGCGCGCGCACACACAAAAACTCTCGTTCTCTCTCACACACTCACTCACTCACTCGTTCACATTCACACTTTGAGCGGTAGCGGCCTCGCGCGCGGCGACGAGACGGAGTGGCACCCACAACCATACACAAGCACGCACACAAACACACGCACACACAACCACACACACACACACCTTTTAGCGGTCGCGGCCTCGCGCGCAGTGGTGAGGCAATGTAGATACACACGCACGCACACACAAACACGCACACACATCGACACCCACACAAACACAAACACAAACATCAACACAAACATCAACACAAACACAACCATAAGCACAAACACAAACACACACACACACAAACACACACACAATCACAAACACAAACACAAACACAACCACAAGCATATACACACAAACGCTTTTTGCGTCGGCGGCTAGGCAGAGTGTTGGGCAAGTGTGCGAGAGGTGCAGGTAGTGCTTGCCGAGGAGGTAGAAAAGGACCAGGCGCACTGCAGGACGCAGACGCCCAGTCCCGTGGGGCAAAATGCTGGTTGACGAATTCCCGGGGGCAGCCCTGAGGCGGAAGCTGGCGGGCCAGCTATGTTGAGGCCACATAAGAAAACTGCCGAGCCAGACGGGAGTCCAGGCGGAGGCACAAGCCCATGCCAGGCTCACCCAAAAACCAGGCCTTGCCGAAGAGGACGAGCAGGAAGGCCGAAGCAAGCGGGGCTAAGTTCCGATAGAGGGGCATCCAAGGCAGATGCATGCCAGCGAAGTGCATCGTCGGGAGATTGACGCCAACTACACTGGGACCTTCGATGAAACGGGGCTGCCGATCGAAAACACTGCCCGGGCTGAGGGGCGATTCGTGCTAGAAGCCGTCCTGAACAAACATATCAAATCCGCTGCCAAACGAGACCGAGCAGAACGGCTTCAGAACGACCTCGCCGAGAACAGTTGCCTGCTATCAAAATCCTGCAGCGTGAAACTTCGCACCAACAGCAGGGTGGACTAGAGAGTCTGGATGGCAATCTCGTGGACTCCCATGACAGTGCTGAAAGGGCGATTTGCTTACAGGCCGGGCAATGGAAAAGCTCCTGGCGCAGGGGAGGGCGTGCCATCCGAGCATCTGGGGTCTGGTGATCGGCATTCCGACGGGAGAATTCTCTCGGCAGGAATTGAAGAAAGTATTTTCGCGACTGGACTTCTGGGCCATCCTGGGCAGCAATGACATTTCTCTCCGGATCTTGCCTCAGCTGTTGAACTCATGCTGGGAGTTGCGGGAGATCCCCCAATCCTGGTCTAAGCTTTCGGCGTATGCAATTCTGAAACAAAAAAAACAACCTGGCGCTGCCATCACATTACCGTCCTGTTTCACTCTTGGCAGTGGGTTGCATCGTCTCGCGGCTGTGATTCTGGAGCGGCTTCGAAAAGGAGGCGTGGAGAGTCGCCTCCGAGATTATCAGGTTGGCTTTCGCCCTGGCAGGGGCGCGGACCTGGCCATTTTCTCCGTGCAGCGCATCATTCACGCAACGCATGACCTCAGAGACGGCGAGCTGTCCGTAATACTACTGGATTGGTCGAAAGCTTTCGACCACATCGATACCGGAGCGTTGCAGCTGGCTCTGCGCAAATTTGGTTTCTGAAACCTATATCGGCATGGTTGCTTCCATATGTAGATGCAGATCGTTCACCATGCGAGACGCTGGCAAAGAATCCGACGCCCGCCAACAGGCAGCCGGCATTGCCCAAGGCTGCCCGTTATCCCCATGCTTGTTTATCATTGTACTGACCGTCATCATGGCAGATGTGAACTGGGACCGAGATGGTTGCAACACAGACGACCTCGAGTACACCGACGATGCCGTCTTGATTTGTGCATCATCCACCTGTCTGCAGGCAGCATTGAGCAGCCTGCTAACTCGAACGGTTCCTTACGGTCTGCTTCCCGATTGGGACAAGACCGTCGTCCTGCGCATCGGCAACCCACCACCGATTCTGAATCCGAGTGGCCGGCCAATTCCTGGGGCGGATCAGCACGCGCACCTCGGCGGCCTGCTGACAACCAACGGTTCCGCCAGATGCGATATCCGGGAGACTGTGAGAGGCGAGGGGTACGTTCACGATCCTGACGACAGTCTGCAGCCATTCTTCTCTCAGCAGGAGTAGGAAGCGGAGAATCTACGAGGCGTGCATCGCCTTCGAACTAGTTGTACAGCCTCGAGAAGGAGCGACCAACTAATGGTTAATATTCTCGAACTCGCTCGTTCCACGTTTCTTGTTTGAAGGAAATATGCGAGAACGCACCCCATGATTTCGAGAGTGTCCAACGAAAAGGGTTTTGACACTGCCTCGGCGCGCCCGCTGTCAGACTAGCTGATAAGCAAAGTCGCACGAATGCCAGACACCAACATTGTTCGCATAGTCAATTTCCAACTGTCGTCAGCGCAGCTGGCACGGCCAGGCGGTATGCGAAAGCGAGGGCGTCAAAAAGTCTCTTGATGACACACAACCAGGATGCATGCGCGGAGGGCCTGGGAGGAGACGAAGATCGCCTGTCTGCCACCCTGAGCAGAGACTGTGGCTGCTCCAACACGTGGAAAACTGCTGTTCGAAAACATGCTGCTTCACTCTGACTGTTCACACTGCTGCCGATGTGCCGTCATGGCACGGCTTCTGACACAATCTGCCAAGCAAGACGAGTTTCAAGGCAGACTTGAGAGCGGGCGCCATCGGCCATGACCAGGAAACCAAACATTGCTGTAGACACACAACGAAAACACACAACAAACGCTCTCGGTCAAATTCTGGAGGCCGCTTCCAGTCCCCCAGTCCCTGGGGCTGTCAAGGGAACGAAGCGTGGTGAGACTCTGGTCGCAGAGGACGGTGTCGAGAGGTCTCATAAGCCCGCGTCTTGGAGATAAAGGACGCTGGAGTCAAGGGTCCTTGTCGTCGCCCGAGGGTACCTGGCGCGACGCTTCCTCGGAGCGCCCGAAGATATCTGCCAGCACGCTTCCTCGGGGCGTCCGAAGGTACCAGCCATGGCGCTTCCTCTGAACGTCATTATTTTGCGTTAGAGGGCTTTCCGACGTTATGGCCATTACCTTCTCCACACGCTTCTCCTGCTGCCTCCTCCTCCTCCTCCTCCTCCTCCTCCTCCTCCTCCTCCTCCACATGATCCTTCTCATCCCGCTTCCCTCCTCTCGCAATCCGTTGTGGCCCATCCTTTGCTGTACCTCCTGTGCTGTACCGTGTCCCTCGCCCCTCTGTGCCTTCCTACGTCTCCTTCGCAACACTTCCTACATTCAGACCCATCAGACGCTCGTCGACGTGAGAGGACGAGCACACATCCCGTTCTCATCAGCGTTCGCCCCTCGACAGGCAACCGTACAGCAGGCACACACGATGACAACTACTGCCATGATACATACTGGGACACGCTCTTCGTAGAGCTTTTTGGAACGGAAGGCGTCAGATGACGCCAACAGGTCCGCGGGGCCCTCGGCGAATACAGAAGCTTCCGTGTGGCACCTGCCGGCGGGCCTGCTTTTGCATTGATTGGAAATTCTGGTCAGGCGGGGAGTCGCGGACTTCTGTTCAGTCTCCCCGCGCGCGACGCCGTCCTCGTGGAAGGCGTTGCACGCCAGGTGCGAGGGAGACGGCGGCGCCAGCAAGAGGTCGGCCACCATGCAGCACACGATGGCCACCACCTCGGGGTATGCTCTCCGGAATTGCTGCGGGGCAGCTGGGAACTGCATGGCCGCCTCTGGCAGCCCTGAATCCAAGCAAGGGGGCATCTCTTGGGGGCGCATACGTATTCCTCAATCAGTGCTTGCACTGAAGGGGTCCTAACGGGGATGGAGCGATTTGGCGAAAAATCTGGGCCGGTAGGCGGGTTCCTGGTTCCGGGTTCCCAGGTTCCCGGTTGCTGGTTCCAGGCCGATTTCGGTTGGCGGCGGGGTTCCCGGGTTTCTGGGTTCCCAGGTTCTTGGTCGATCTCCTTATCGATCGGTCTCGCCATCGATCTCACTACCCACCTCCCTATTGATCTCACCACCAGTCCCACTATCGATCTCAAATCGATCTCGATATCCGTATCACGAAATTCAAACCATCCACTGGTTGGGTTTTTTCTCTGGTGTAGTATATATATATATATATATATATATATATATATATATGTATATCTGGTGTAGTATATATATATATATACATACATAAACACATATGCTCCTCCAAAAAATCCCCCTTTAACTTCCGCCACCTTCCGCTACCGGCTTGCCGCCGAGGAAGATGCAGCAACTTCTCGATCTCGCGGAGGTGATGCCAACTTTGGGGGGCCCTGCTTAGAGACGTGCCCAACCCCCCCCCCACCCACACACACACACACACAAGTCCGCCAGCAACCACGACAGCGAGGTCTCGTTTGAATCCTCGTGGGACGAAGCTCCGCTGGGCTCTCTAGGGGCTCAGAGCGTGGCCACAACTTGGGGGGCCCCATTCTGAAGCCGCTCCGCCCGAAACCCAGGGGGCGCAGCGGGCGGCTGCATGCCTCCGTTTGGCACCGCCCACGAGGGCGATGTCAAGCTTGGGCCCCTGCGCCGCGCCATTCTGCTGGTCTGCCCCAGATGGCCCGTGAGGTGGAGGCTGCCCTGCGTGTGGCAGCGCGCCGAGGGGACCAGGCCCCGTCAGGATCCGCGCGGCGTGCTGTACTCCGCTGGGCTCACTGGAGGATCTGGCAATCTGGCTCGGACATGTGCGGAGGGCCCATCCGCAGGGCTCCCCCTCCCCGCCCAGGGGTCGGCGAAGGGCACTGCTGCATGTTCATATTCATACCATCGATGAATTACCCTGGCCAACTTTCCGGCCAACCCTCGTGGCCACCGACCCCCCATGTTGGCGAAATTCTTTCAATTGGATAAGGAACCGCCCAGGGAGGGGACGTCTGGTCTGGACGTGCGAGACGTCTGGTTTGGACGTCGTTTGGCGGCGCCCAGGGCGGCCAGACCTGGCCTGGACCTGCAAGGCAGGCCGCGCCACGCTGGGAGGCCATGCAGGGGGCTCGCGCAACAGGGAGCGATACGTCCGCAGCGGCTCCGGCTCAAACTCATTCTGGGAAGGAGCGCTCAGTGGCCCCCAAGGCCGCCGCCAAAGCCAAGACGAAGGCTCGCTCTCGCCGCGAGCGTGCCTGCCCGGGCCTGCCGCGGAGCTCCCAGGCGGACCTCCTGAAGCACAGTGCCGAACGGCGGCAGGCAGTGCTGGACAAATCTTGTGCATTCTACGAGTTCCCGAACTGCGCCGCCTCTGTTCGGGCTCCCCATGTCGCCAAACAGACGTCAACTAGGCGATGCCCCACACGCGTGCCCATCCCAGGATCCCACCTGGTTGGCTGCGAGCTTCGAACAAACTGGTTGCTGACTATAGCGAGGCGCAATATCCGATGGACGCTGGACACGCTTCACTCCGCACCCAAGCTTTGGAGGATTCCATCAACCAGTGTGATCAGAAGGTGCAGGCGGGACAGCTGAGCGGGGGCCACTTCTGGACCAAGGTGCGCCGGAACGCGGCGCAGCCACCAGCCTCTAACCTCTATGTAACCTCTAACCTCTAACCTGCAGCAGCGGGGGAGTACGGTCGCGAACTTCTGCTTAGGGTGTCGCTGCGGCGGCCCCGGCGACACGCCACCCGCTATGCCCTGCAAGCGGACAGCGTGCCGCTCCGCCTTGCGGGAGGGGGCGATCGGACAAAACTCGGGACGCTGACGCACGGGGGGCCCAGGAGATGGCTCACGTGGCGCGCCGGAGCGTGGTGGGCCAGAGCTGGCGGTGCGACACGCTGAGCCCAAAGCTCTGGACCGCAGGTGCAAGTTCTGGCCTCGGACCTCGGCGGCAGGCGGTCGGAAGCTGGCGGCGAGGGCCTGGTCCAGCAGGGCCTGGTACACCTGCCAGGGCGAGTCCGAGAGCCCGTCGCAGGCGGCCAGCACCTGCATGGCCCCGAAGACCCCGATCAGCAGGCCGGTGTACCAGAACTGCTCCGACCTCAGGGCCCAGACCTCTCACGTATGGAAACATTCCATGCGCAAATTCTCCGTCGTTTTGTGCCTCTGGGCCCTGGCTGGGCCCGGGGCCGCTAGAAACTACTCAGGGTGAAAAAACCGGTCGCGCGGAACGAGTCGAGAACCACAGATACCCAGCAGTGGAACAAGTACATTGGACCTCTGGGGAGAGAGCGTCTTCTGTGCACGTGTCCATGGCGCATGGTTCCAACCTCCCCCGCTCTGGAACCGCCGCCCACCCCCCGTCGTCGTCGTCGCCGTCGTCGCCGTCATCGTCGTCGCCGTCGTCGTCGTCGCCGTCGTCGTCGTCGTCGTCGCCGTCGTCGCCGCCGTCGCCGCCGTCGTCGTCGTCGTCGTCGTCGTCGTCGCCGTCGTCGTCGTCTGCTTTTGCCAGCGCCGGACGTCGGTCGGTCGGGCGAGGCGCCCAGCGCCGGTCAGGCGGGCGGAACACGTCGTCGACATCATCCTGGGCGAGTCGGTCGGACGGGCGGGCGGGATACGTCGTCGTGGTCGTCGTCGTGGTCGTCGTCGTCGTTAGAATACGCCCTTTCCGCCCATAGGACTCGGAGGAGATCTGGTTCGATGCGTGTTTCTGTTCCAGGTGGCGAATGCCCCCGGGGCGAACAGAGAGCAAAGGGCGAGGGATGGACGGGCAGGGCGTTCCAGGATCAGGGTCGAGAGGAGGAGAGGGAGGAGTGCTCTCCTTCACGGTGACGGTCGCCCCTGCCCCCTCGGCGGAGAGCCGGGGATGGGGGCGAGGGGGAGGGAGAGAAGGAGGAGGAGGAGGAGGAGGAGGTGTGACTCCGATCTAGGTCCGCGCAACGTCAAAAAAAGAGGGGATGAGGCGGAGGGGGAGGAGGGCCTGATGGGTCTGCATGTAGGGAGTGTTGCGAAGGAGACGCAGGAGGGCGCAGAGGGGCGAGGGGCACAGTACAGCGCAGGAGGTACAGCAAATGATGGGCAACAACGGATTGCGAGGAGGGAAGCGGGATGAGAAGCATCATGTGGAGGAGGAGGAGGAGGAGGAGGAGGAGGAGGAGGAGGAGGAGGAGGAGGAACAGGAGGAGGAGGAACAGGAGAAGGAGGAGGAGGAGGAGGAGCACGGGGAAGGGTTCTTGACGATCGATGACGTTCTGCAAATTTCTGGGCCCTCCCCGGGCCTGCGGACAGCTCGACTGTTAGATGGGGTCGGAGTGGATGTGGTCAGAGGATCGCGCCGCATCGCCCATGCATCGGCGATGCGGCGCCGATGCGCTGGCGATGCGCCGGCGATGCGTTGGCGATGGACCGGCGACGTCGGCGATGCATCGGCGACGCTGGCGTGGGGAAAATCGGGCTCCACATCGAGTGCATTTCCGATGCATCGGCGATCCGGCGCGATCAACCAACTCCGTCCACTCGGGACCCGTCTGGGAGGCCTCAAATCTCCAGCGCCAGAGGGAAGACCAGCCAGGGGGGCGCGGCCCTCCAGGTGGCCCCAGCGCATGTCGGCCTCGGCGTCGCGGTTCACCGCAGCGTGCGCCGTCCCACGCCGCCGCTGCGTCCAGCGCTCTCCCCTCGCCCGGGACTCGGTGACTCCGAAGGGTGTGGTTTGCAACCCGCACCCTGGAGGGCGGCCGAGGACCTCGACAGAGTTCTCCGCCGCGCTCCGAGGAGGCCCGACGAGGTCAACGTGGTGCCCCCCAAGCCCCAACCGACGCAGATCGTCAACCACACTCAGTGTAACCACACCCTATGAAACCACCGAAGGGGAGCCACGGCGCACGATGCCGTCAGCGAAGTATCGAGGATGCCATCCGCTGCGTCCGGCGCTCGCTCCTCGCCAGGGAAGCCGTGGCGCACGATGCCGTCGGCGAAGGGCCGAAGGCACCCAACCCGTTGCGCGCCTGGATCTCGAGGATGCCGTGCTCGCGCTGCGCCGTGAGGGGAGCCCCGCCGTCTCCACAAGGCCCAGCTGGCGGGGTGAAAACGCAGCCGCGTGCGTCGCTGCCGGGCGCGGTGCAGCGCCAGCGCTGCCAGCTCCAGGCGGGGACGTGCACCTCTCCTTTTCTCTCTCTCTCTCTCTTTCTCTCTCTCTCTCTCTCTCTCTCTCGGTCGGCGCGGTATAAGCGCATTCTGCGTGGATGCGTTCCCACCCGCCTTCAAGGTCAAGGCTGCGCGCGTTCGTATCTCCTCCTCCTGATCGTGAAACTCGCGATCCTCCTCCTCCTCTTCTTCCTCCTCCTGATCGCCGATGCTCCCTCGCCCCTCCTCCCTTATCCGTTCTCCCTCGCTCATTCACCCCTTCCTCCTGCCTTCTCCAAATCACCCATTCCTCCTACCCCTGCTTCTCCTCCTCCTCCTCCTCCTCCTCCTCCTCCTCCCCCCTCCTCCTCCTCCTCCTCCTCCTCCTCCTGCTCCTCCTCCTCCTCCTGTCCCCCTCTCCCCTTATCCTTCTCATCCCTCTACCTGTCATTCGCTGCCTCCTGCTGCTGTAGTCGCCGCTTCCTGCTCATCCCTTCTCCTCGCCCCGCACCCGCCAGTCGGAGGGCGCCGAGGCCCCCGCGTGAAGTAGAAGTAGAAGGCGAAGAACTGGAACATCACGACACCTGGACGACGGACACTTGCCATCTCTCGGACGTCCACCGTGCAATGTCTAGTTTCGTGCATTTCTTTGAGTTTTCAATATGGTCCGGATGCTCCGAGATTGTCCGGATGCTGTGACTTCGGTCGATGCTGGAGCCTGGCGCTCCCCCGCGCCCTCCCGCGCGATATCGGGCGCTCCCCTGCCGCTTTCCTGCCACTTTCCTGCGCGCTGCCGCTGTGCCCGTTACTGGGTGCAGTCACCGTGCTGCCAGAAGGAGCGCCGAATGAGGAGCGAAGGGGCTGTTCTCGCTACGGCGAGCCTCGCCCACGAACAAGTTCCTCGACCCGGATCTGAAGGGCGGGCCGCAAACTGGAGCACCTCCCGAGCCGAAATCTGCCGTTGTTCCGGCGTCTCGACCGTGACCGTGCCGGTGGCACCGAGAGCGGCGACAAAGGCGTCGCGCATGGCGGTCTGGCGCCCGCCGCGGTAAGCCGTCCGCGGGCGTGAAGACTGGGCTTGCGCGCCTCCGACCCCTCGCCATCGCTCGGACGTCCACTTCCCCTACGGGTTTCGGCTCTGTGCGTGCAATTTTTCGAATGATGACCCACAATGCTCCTCGATGGTCCTTGCCGACAAGAAGTGCACACGTTCGAGCGATGCCAAGACCCAGACTCGGATGCGCCGGACAGGCTGGACGGGACGGGGACGCGTGGGGACGTGGTAATACTGTGTGCCTCTGTTGGAGACGCGCGCCCGACCCGAACATCTGGTACAAGATCTTGTAGTAGTGGGTTCCCCGAGCGGTGTGGCCAAAAAACGCCCGCCACGGAGCCTACACCGGAAGATTTCCGAGCGTGCGCGTCGCCCTTGCGCGGCCGACGAAATCGGATCGGATCGGCTGCGCCACAACAGTGCCATGCAAGCATCGGGCCGCGTCTGATCGCTGGAAAACCGAAATCGAATCGGATCGAGACTGCCGACATCGATATCAAATCAGGTCCTTAGGATCGGCATAGACCCTGAAGAAGGAGGCCAGCAAGAGGGCACCGCGCGCCACCAGTGGCGCCTGCGAAGCCCATAAGGGCGCCCGTGATGCTGCACCGCACCAAGAGCGCGAAAATCAACTGCCCGATGAGGGTGCCCACCTTAATCAGCCGGCAAGCGCGCCCCGCTCGCTAAGGTCCCGGATCGCGAGTCAAGGGCAAGGTCCCGGCATCACACCCTCCCTCTACCATTCTCTCCCCAGGTAGTTCTCTGGGACTGGCATTTTATCACGAACTTACGTTTGAGAGTCCCGGGAGTCTCAGGGCCCGGGAGGGGCCCGGGAGCCCGAAAACGGCGGAAAACCGTCAGGGCCCCCGAAAGGATCCTTTTTCTTCATGCTGAGCTGCGCGATCGTACCCCCCGAGCTCTAGGGCAACCTCGGCAGAGGTCACCAAGCGCGAGCGCCTGGGGAAATCAACAGCGCGGTGAACGGACAGCGCACCAGCGTAGCGAAGAGGTGTGGAGCGTACATTGACAACGTACAGGAGCAGATCCGGGTTGTGACCGCCTGGGCGTTGGCTTCTGACGGCGCGCGGATCGCCCGCCCGCTCTGACACGGCACGGCAAGAACCCACCGCAGGGTGGGAGAAGAGGGGGAAAGGAGGGGCGAGAAAGAAGGGGGAGTGGGAGGAGGCGGCCAGGCGAGGCGAGGCCGCGGGAGTGGGAGGGAAGGGGGACGGGGGATGGGGGGAGAATGACTCGACGATGACTGGGGATGGGAATGGGGGCAGATGGGGGGGGGATGCGGGCGAGGCGATGCGAGTTAGGAGGGGGAGCAGGGGAAGTCTCGTCTCGATCCCATCGAAGCAATACTACCCCAAATCTGAGGATAGCTGCTCTGGGTTATGAATAGGATTGCCTCCCCTCTCCCAAACTCTATCGCTGGGGAGGAGGAGGAGAGTCGGCAGGGTCCCCGGAGGTCTCCTGAGGCCTTCCAAGGGGGAGGGGCACCTCGTCTCCCCCAGACTCGTCCTCGCCCTCGGCGCCACCCCCAGAGCGGTACGGCGGGCTCGTGTCGAGACGACTTGCGCGTTGGATTCTGACACCTCGCAAATCGTTCGACCCTGTGCCCTCGCGCGCAGCATCGTCTGACATCTGCAGATTCTGGGGGCACTGGCGTCCAGCCTCCGAACGCTCGCGATGGGGTTGCCGCCGAGTCGACACGACAGACGGGGTCAGCAAAGAGGGCCAGGCGGGTATGCCCCTGAAGCTTGACAGTTTCCACTCTGCGGCAAGGACAGAAGGCACATGGTGTAAAAACGGTCGTTCTCGCCTCAACGCCGCGCGCACTCGTTTGAAAGGTTCCAGCAACTACGCGGGTGGAGGGCGAATTGGTTTCGACAAGTGGCTCTCGCCCGAGCGCCCCGCACACCCATCCGGAGCACCTTCAACACCACTGGTAGAGGGCGAATGGTTTCCAGCATGTGGCTCTTGCCCCAGCGCCGCACGCCCTTGTCTTCACCGCTCACGGCGGCTAGATGGAGCGCGAATCGTTTTAAGATGTGGGCATAGACTTAACCCTGATAGCAAGCGAATCACATTAAACATGTGGGCATAGACTTTAACCCTGATGACAGGCGTCTCAGAAACATCCGAGGGTTACACAGGTGGAAGGCATCGTGGCCTCAACATGTGACTCTCGCCTTCGCGCCACACGCATTGGTCAGACAAGCTTGGTATGGAGGGTGGGTCGTTGTCAGCGTGCGTTTCTCGCCTCAACGCCGCGCACACTCGTCATGAGTCATTTGCATTCCGAATGCGTCCTGGATAGAGGGCACCCCGTTTCCGAATTGTGGTCCTCGCCTTAGCGCCGCGCACATTCGCCGAAACACCTCTTCCAAAGCTAAAGTGCCGGGTTCCTGTTCACAATGTGGCTGTCGCTTGCGACTTGCTTTTATTTCAGAAATCATAATTCTGCGCTTGTGCAACAGCCGCACGTATGGAGGGCGTCTTCTTTTCGAAATGGGGCCATCACTCGAGAAGTCCTCGAGCAGTGTGATCAAATCCTCAAGGACGGGTAGCACATACACTCATGGCAGACCCTTCATTCCAAACACGGGTCTATCGCTGGACGCTTCCTTGGCCTTTCTGACTCTAACTTGCCTCTCACCTCCCCGCATTGCTTATGGCTAGAAAAATGATGGGCAATTCCTTGTCGAAACAGAGCTTTCACGGACATGACCGACCCACGGGGCTTTCGTCTTCCAAGGGGGAGCTTCCTGTAATCATAACGAGGGGTGGGGGTGAGGAGGGACCTGGGGACAAGAGCGTGCGTTGCAACATCTTTGATGCATCCTGGGTCTACTCTGCTTCTCCTTCCTCCAGCCCTCCAGCTCTCCTCCTTCCCTCCTGCTCCTCCGCCTCTCTCCTCCCGCGGCGCCCTTCCCACCTCGTCCATCCTGGCTCCCTTCCCTCCCTACATCGATGTTCGGCGGCCCTGGGGCACGAAACGGCTCACCAAAGGCGGAACTCGAGGAACACCTCCTGCGCCCTCCTCCTCCCGTCGGACGTTGCCACGTCTAACCATTGCCCCCCCCATCCACTTCTCTAGTCGGACGATGCCGCGGTGTGGCTTGGCTTAGCATGATTTCATACTTCTCATTTCGTTCACAACGGCCTCCTATTGCAAATCCTGGGCCATGAAGAGTCGGGCGCTGGCCATGAGAGGTGTCGCCGTTATGTCGCCCTGAATCGGAATCCCCGACTCTCGGTCCCTGTCGCCGATATCTGGTCGTGAATGTGTGCTCGCCCGTGCTCTTTTGTTTGTCCTGTCACCGAACTCGGCGCGCTCTTTCATCTGGGCCTGGCTCTCCTTCCCCTCCTCCCTCCTCTTCCTCCTGCTCCTCCTCCTCCTCCTCCTCCTTGCCTTCTCCTCCTCCTCCTCCTCCTCCTCCTCCTCCTGTCCCTCTCCTCCTCCTCCTCCTCCTCCTCCTCCTCCTCCTCCTGCTCCTCCTCCTCCTCCTCCTCCTCCTCCTCCTCCTCTTCCTTCTCCTCCATTTTCACCTCCTCCGCGCGCACGCGGCACTGAAACAGGAGGAGGAGGAGGAGGAGGAGGAGGAGGAGGAGGAGGAGGAGGAGGAGATGGGGGAGGAGGAGGGGGAGTGGGACGACGAGGAGGATGAGTAGTTGGATGACGGCGCAGGACGATACTGCGGCGACCCCCTCGGCGGCGCGCCAGGGGCTCCTGAACGCGCTTGCCTCCTCCTCCCCCTCCTCCTTTCCTCCTCTTCCTCCTCATCCTCCTCCTGTTCTCCTCCCCATGCTGATCCTCCCCCTCCCCCCTCCGTTTCCGACTGATTTCCTCCTCCTTCCTTTATCCTCCTCCTCCTCCTCCTCCTTCTCTCCTCCTCCTCTTCCGGGCCACGCGCCATGATCCCCTGGAAGCGCGTGAACTTCTTCACGAACGTAGATCCACCCGTGCCGTCGAAGTTCATGATGAACACGGCGCACCCCGCGGGTGTAGAGCTGGAAGGCAGACGGCCGTTGTTTGAACTGTTCGTGCTGTCATCTCGCTCTCTCTCTCTCTCTCTCTGTCTCTTTTTCTCTGTACAGGTGTATATGCATTGCGCCTTGTTTGTGCATGCGCTTTTTGCATTATGCGCACATGATTGTTGACATGGCGGCGCAACGAATCTGTGCAGACACCTGGATCGAGTGAGCTTGGGTCGGTCTTGCGGATGCAAGCTTGAGTCACTGCGACCGTTGTCTTTTCTCGAAGCCTGGCTGCAATTTGAAGAAAGGGCTGGTACACAGTGTACAAGGGCTGGCTTACCGCTTGCGAACTTGTCGGGTTGCGTAAAACGCGTACAGGCGGGTTACGGGATCAAGTCAGGGTTGCCCAGAACGCCGCTCATAGCGAGACCAACCTTGTGCTTCACATCTTCTCTGTCGACCGTGTCAACAAATCCAGGCTGGAACATCCATTTGCTCGACCATATGCCCATCCCAACCTGGATCTCACTGAACCCATTGGAGCTCATCCACTCAACGGTTTTGTGTTCAGTGGATCCGTCAGGGCGCAAGAACATTACATCATAATCGCGCTCCACATCAGAATCTTCACCATAGTTCGGCCTCAGTGGTTCCAAGATATCCAATGGCAGCCACTGGCCCTCAGTTGTCATGATCAAGTCTCCACACCGGATAACAGCTTTCACAATCGTCCCGAGCGGTGCAGGTTCGGGACTGATAAGTTTGCTGTAGCATGCCATTTTAGGAGCAAAACCATTCCTGTGATTTGTGTTGTTCGCAACTTTAAACTCGACCAAGCCGTGCCTGACAACAAGTGTTACCGATAGCTTGAACCCATCAGTAGTTGCTATCCACTCGTCATTTTCTGTTACTCTGCCATCTAACTGGATATCTTGCAAGCAAGCTGGAATTCCAATCTTCAATGCCACCTGCTCCTTCAAATCAAACATCGTGCTTCTGCCTGAGCAGCACTTGATAATTGCAACAGTTCCTCCACTCAGCGTGTTGACTGCTACCTCCAGGTCTCCACGATGCCTCGTTGCGTGCTGCCTCTCCTAGAGGATGAAAAGGCGGCCTAACACAAAGACTTTTGGAGGTCCGCGCAGATTTCTTGGTTCGGCGATGAGCCCCTCTCCCCGCACTCCCTCCCTAATGCTGCGCCGTGGGTCTGGCGCCGACCCGCGCAGACGTCCGAAAGTTTGCGTCCAAGCCGCTTTTTGGGGGGCCTTCGATGTCCCCAGGCCGCTCCAATGGAGCCAGAGCAGAGTGGGGCCGAAGAGCCGCGCCGCATCGCCGATGCGTCGGCGACGCCTCAGATGCATCGGCGCCGATGCGTCGCCGACGTAGCCGATGCATCGACGATGCATTGGCGATGCGGCGCCAGCTACTCGGGCCCTACTTCGGAGGCCTCGAGTTGGAGGTCTGTTCTCTTTCCCGACCCGATGAGGTCTGGGAGCCAGCGCAGGAGTGCCGGAGAGCCGCGCGGCATCGCCGATGCACCGGCGACGCGGCGCGACCTGCCGGCCCCATCTGGGAGGCCGTCCAGTCCGACCGCGCAGCCGAAAGCCGACCGAACCGACAGCGAAGCCGAAATCGACCGCAACCGAATCTACCGGCAGCAGAAGGAGGCAACGACGCGGCAACGAGGCCACGTCGGGTGAACCGAACCGGCCACCGCGACGCAGCCGAACCGATCAAGCCGCGGACAAGCTTGACCAGTCGGGTGACGTGGTACGGGACCCAGAGATCACACATCGTTCTAACCCCCTCCCGACCTCTCCCTTGCTGCGCTCTGGTTGGAATGTCGAGGCGAATCCATCCGTGGCGACGAGGGGCCCCCAGGAGGCCCAAGAAGCATCGGCCCTCGAAGTTCGAGCTCAAACCCCGTTGCGGCGGCCTCGATCTCCTGAGGCCACTCCGCGCCCCCGCCGAGGACTGCAGCCGACCGCGATGCAGCCGAACGGACCGAGCCGCGGACGCCGACATTCTTGACCGGCCGTGTGCGAGTGGGGACAGTGAGAAGGAGAACACCCTTGCTTAGAGTTGAGAAAACTTTAAGCTGAGACCATGGACCGAAGCGTTCTCTTAGACAGTAGCACAGGTCAGCATGCACGAAAGTTCTACAAAAAAGGAGGCCCCCAGAAGTCGCCCAGGGTCCAGTTCAGATTCTTGATTTTCTTCGTGAACGAAATCTGAAGTTCACGACAATTTGCGCTGTTTCTTAAGATATCTGATGGGCGAAGGTCTTCTCAGAAGGCGGCGGGGCTTCTCAGAATCCCTCGCGTCTTCTGAGAAGTTTTCTGTGTCTTCGGGGAAGGCTTCGGAAACTTCTCGGGGGACTTCCGAGCCTTCTGAGAAGGCCCGCCCCTTCTCCCTTCCCGCCCGAGCTCGCCGCCGCCTTGACCTGCAATGGCTCCGCTGGGGCGGCCTCGATCTCCTGAGGCCACTCCCACCTCCCCGCCCGAGCCCGCGCCCCCGCCGCGGGCCCCCCCCGCGCCGCGTCCACCGCCGCGTCCACCGCCGCGGGCCCCGCCTCCTCTGGCGGTCGGGGCTCCGCGGCGGCGCCGCCGCGTCGGCCCCGGCGCTGCCAGGCGGGCCCGGGGGGCACGTGGTCGCGGCCCGCGCCGCGCTGCCAGACCTCATCGGGCCGCGGCGTGGCGTCGCCGCCGCGTCGTTCTCGGCTTCGCTGTCGACTCGGTCGGCTTTCGGCACGGCCTCCCGGATGGGGCCGGCAGGTCGCGCCGCGTCGCCGGCGCACCGGCGATGTGGCGCGATCCGGGGCCCGAAGACCTCTCCATCCCGACGTCGCCGGTGCATCGGCGATGCGGCGCGGCTCTCCGGCACTCCTGCGCCGGCTCCCAGACCTCATCGGGTCGGGAAAGAGCACGGACCTCCAACTCGAGGCCTCCGAAATAGGGCCCGAGTAGCTGGCGCCGCATCGCCAATGCATGGCCGATGCATCGTCGATGCATCGGCTACGTCGGCGATGCATCGGCGCCGTCGGCGGAGAAAATCGTGCTCCACATCGAGCCGCATCGCCGATGCATCGGCGATACAGCGCCATCCTCCAACCCCATCTACTCGGACCCCACTCGGGAGGCATGGGCCAACGTATTGCAGGATTCAACACGGAGATTTCTCCAATTCTCGGACTGTCGGGGGCCCTCGCCGGGCCCCAGGACAATGAAAAGACTGCTCGGGATGAGGAGCCAGCCCTGGGGACAGGGCAGGAACTTTCGGGGATCCCGCGTAGAACAAAATCAAGACATCGCATCTTTGGGAAGGAGGGGTAGTCAAGGGGGGGTCACAGGGCACACGGTCGCGGCTGGCGCCGCGCTGCCAGACCTTAGCCAAGCCAGGAAAAAAACAGCTCGAACCCCACAACTGGCGTTTACAACTGTGTTCGGGGTGATTCTTCAGCTGCGGAGCATGAGCCGAATGGATAGACAGATAGACAGCAGGCCCTGAAAATTTGTCGCCAGTCAAGGGACCGCGGGGCCCTCTCCGTGCCCCGGGGCCGTCAGAAGACGACTCGGAAGCTCTGGCCCGGAGGATAGCACGGAGTCTGCGGACAAGCACGTTTGCTTAGCATGTCGCGGCGGCGGCCCCAACGACACGCCATGCCATGCAAGCCGATAGCGTGTCGCTCCACACCGCGGGAAGGGAGGCGCGGGAAAGCTCGGGACGTTGACACTTGGGGACGGGGACGTGGATAGCGGAAAACACCTCGCGCCGAAGGACGATAGGGCAGAACCGGCGCGACACGCCAAACACAAGTTCTTGACCGTAGGAGCCGTCTCCCTCAGCACCCCCCACCCTCATGGCGACAGACCGCGCCGTGCAACTCGACCTGCTCCTCCGCTGGGAGCACGGTCCACCTGCGGATGTCGTTGCTCAATTGGGGCCTCTTCTTCGGCGCCACGGCCACGGTGACGTGTCGGCTACACGCAACGAGTGGTCCTATTTGGGTCGCCGCGGGGGTCGCTAAGAGGATAGGGGGTGACAAGTGGATGCTAAGGTTGGTTTGAGTTGGCATGACCTAACTTATGAGTAAGCTGCGAAATGCCCAAGGATGCTTACGGGCTTACAGATCCGGGCGAAGTGGGCAGAGCTCACCTAGCGGAGCGATCCAATCACCCTGAGCCATTTAGGGAACTTGCCAACCACTGGTAAGCTAGGTTAGGCCAGATATAACGCACCTTAGATTCCACTTCTACCTGTTCTATCCCCTAAGCAGCCCCCGCGGCGATCCAAGCATTCAAGAGTGGCCGTCGGTTCGCAACTTTTTGGAGGCCGCGGGGGGGCCAGCATCAAACGAATAGGCCCGTCCTATGAGACATAGGGGTTCCAAAGCCGTGTGGTCACAGACCGTGCGGTGATCTCGAAATCCGCCGACCTTGTCGGCGTGTGGCAGACGCTCTTCCGTTGGTCGCCGTCGTCGTCGTCGTGTCGTCTCCGTCGTCTCCTCGTCGTCTCCGTCAATCGGCGTCTCCGTCGCCCCCCGTCTCCTTTCCCTGAGCCCTTGTCGTCGTATCGTCTCCGTCGTCTCCTCGCCGTCTCCGTCGTCGTCTGCGTCTCCGTCGTCTCCTCGTCGTCTCCGTCAATCGTCGTCTCCGTCGTCCCCCGTCTCCTTCACCTGGGCCATCCTCCTTAAGCGCGCCAGCCGAAACCGACATTGAACAACGTCGTAGCTGAGTCGAACGGAAGCCCCTTCCCTTTGATCCCCTCCCCGCCGGGATGGGGGAGGGGTCCCGGGGAGGTCCCTGGGGGGTGTCCCCGGGGGGGTCGTCCCGGCCCCAAATACGTATCCCCACCTGGCGGTTCGTCAAGGGCCCAGAAAAGCCCCACGAAGCTGCAAGAGTGCCCCAAGAGGCCCCCAAGAGGGTCCGCGGGGGCCCCGAATCGTCAAATCATCGGTCCAATACGCCGAAGTAGCATCCAGACGGCTCAAGAAGTGTTGAAAACGCCCCAAGAGGCCTCCAAGAGCACTCCCAAGAAGGCCCCCTGGGGCAAACATCTAAGATGTTCCTCAAGCTGTTGAGCGATTCTGGCGTTCTCGCCTTGTCGGCTCCCCGACGTTCCAAGACAGCCAAGATCGCCCAAGAGGCCTCCAAGAGGGTCCCAAAACGACCCGAGATGGCCCCAAGACCGACCAAGAGGCCTCCAAGACAGCCCAAGAGGCCCCCAAGACGGCTCCAAGAGGGCCCAGACTGGGAACCCAAACGGACATTTCGAGCCCTCGGCCTGAGGCTCCCAGGAGGCCCCCAGATGCTCCCAAGAAGCCCCCTAAGAGGCCCCAAGAGGCCCCAAAGAGACCCTCAAGAGGCCCCGACGAAGGTCCCAAGAGGCCCCCAAGAGCTTCCCAAGAGGCCCCAAAACTACCCCCAAGAGGCCCCCGAGAGGCCAAGAGACCTCTGGGGAGAGAGCGTCTTCTGTGCACGTGTCCATGGCGCAGAATCCCAACCTCCCCCGCTCTGGAACCGTCGCCCACCCCACGTCGTCGTCGCCATCGCCGTCGCCGTCGCCGTCGCCGTCGTCACCGTCGCCGTCGCCGTCGTCACCGTCGCCGTCGCCGTCGCCGTCGTCGTCGTCGTCGTCGTCGTCGTCGTTCTCGTCGTCGTCGTCGTCGTTCAGGGTCGGCGGCACGGGCCGTAAGGCCTCTCCAATCCCGAAGGACCTCACCGCACGGTCAATCACCGCACGTGTTTGGGACGTCGCAGGCCCTGGTCGCCCGATGCACCCTCGAAGCCCCAAAACCGCGCGGTGACCCCGAATCACTACTGACTCATTACAAGGTGTGGTCACCACACCGTTTGGGGGCCCCCGGGGGACCCATATGGGCCCTCACCCAAGGTCGCTCTGGCGAAGTGCCCCTCTTGCGCGTGGCCGAATGTGAGGGTTCTTGTTGCAGGAGGGGCAGCCAACGACGCCGACGGCCAGCACGCTGTCGGGGAGCTCCCCGATCGACACGACCCTCAAGTCCATCTCCTGCTGGCGTGAAGCAAACGGGTCCCGCGAGAAACGGATCCTGGACCCAAGGCCGAGGGGCAACGATAGGGGTGGACTGGCTCAGGGGCGGGAGCAATCGAGCCGGAATCGACGATACATCGCCGATAGATCGGCGAGAGGCCCCCGATAGCTGGTCCGCACGCGCACGGGCGGGGTAGGCCATCGGGCCCCCATCGGCGATGAGTGGGGGATTGGGGATCGATGCGTCCCCCCCTGAGCCTGCCGCTCCCCGACGTTGCCCCTGACCGGGGCCTTTCCCCGTTTCGGACGTCCCCGCGGCACGCGGAGGGCCGGCGGGAGCCCGAAAGCGGTGAACGAATCTCAGGTCCCGCTTCCCTCATTTCTTTCAGCTGTTTGTTGCTGTCGTTTTACGTTTCTCTGTTGCTTCATGGCACTCGCCTGCTCGACCGAGAGCGCCGCCGTCTGCCGACGCACCGCCTCGGCGCAGGAGCGGTTGTCCTCGGTCCGGGGGCGTTGCAGAGGACCCATGCAGATGGTCATGTGCTCGCAGTACGTGGTCCAGCCGGCGGGGATGCCGCCGCTGGCTGGCGGCACTCGCGAGGGGGGTGGCGCGAGTGGGGTGGCCCTCTGATAAAAACGGAGGTGTGGGGGGAGGGGGCTTCTGGACGGGCAGGTGGCTTCTTGCAGAAGCCTTCCTTGCAGTCAGGAACTTTTGCGCAAGCGTGTCGTGGCGGCGGCCCCGGCGACACACTATAGCCCTGCGAGGGGATAGCATGTCGCTCCGCCCCGCTGGGAAGGGCTCGGGACGCTGACGCCTTGGGACAGGGCGGTGCATAGCGTATCGCGCCGAAGCGCCGCGGGCCAGAACCGGCGGAGCGACACGTTAAGCCAGCAGTTCCCGCCCGCAGGGAGCCTTCTCGGAAGCTTTCGGGCCCTTCCGAGAAGGGCCCCTGCCCTCCCCGAGGCCCCCCCCCCCCTGCCTTCTCGCAGGGCCGCCCCCCCTCCCGCGCCACGCCCTCGTGCGCGGGCCGCCAGGCTGGCCGCGAAGGCGCGCCCGCAGAAGTCCAGGAGGCGCTCGCGACTCTCCTCTGTGGGGGGATGGAGGACTCGGGCTCGGGGGGCTCCGGGTTGGCCCGACGGGGCCGTCAGGAACATGACAAGACCCCGTCGGAAATTCGCGAGCTCCCGCTGCAAGCGTCCAAAGCGGAGACCGGACCGTCCAGACCCAAGACGGGCTCGCCAGGAAGCGTCGGCAAACCCGAGTTCTGGCGAATTCGAGCCTCACGTTTTCCCGATAGGAGGGGCCAACATACGGTCGGGAACTTTCGCTTCGCGTGTCGCGGCGGCGACCGCGGCGACACGGTATGCTCTGCGAGCGGATAGCGTGTCGCTCCGCTCCGCGGGGCGGGAGGCCAGGAGCAGCTCGGGACGTTGCCGCGTGGCCATGGCACGGACGCGGATAGCGTGTCGTGCGGAGGCGTGGCGGGCCAGACCGGCGGAGCGATGCGCTAACCAACAGTTCCAGCTCCCGCGAATTTCTTGGGCCCGGCGCTAGACACTCCCCCTTGGGCGCGCGGAGCTCGACCCGACCGTATCTCCTCCCTCCCTCCGTCCCCTCCTTCTCCTTCCTCCCTCTCGATGGTCTCGCTAATCAAGGAGCTCCCGCCCGTCAACACCAGGAGATCCGCCCAGATTTCTCGGGTCGGCGCTTGTCCCTCGGCCCCAGGCGCACGGAGCGCGCCAGGGGCGGCGCACGAGGCGCCGCCAGGGGCGTCCAGCACCGATCCGCGAAACCTGCGCGGAGCTCCGAACGCTTATGTGAATCCAGCTGAGCTGTTTGCCGTTCTACTTGTAGCGCTCCTTTCTGATCTCTCCTCTTCTGGGAGAGACTGTGTGAGAGAGAGGTAGAGAGAGGAGCAGGACTGCAGAGGGGTCCGGGCCCGAGACCGAGGACGACCTCGTTTCTGAGCTGAGACCAAGGCCCGGGCTCGAGAGCTCGACCACGAGCGAAAGTCTGAGCCTGAGCCCCAGCTCGAGCCCTAGCCGAAGCCCGAGCCTGAGCCCCTGATCCAAGCCGGGGCCTCGTTCAAAGTCAGAGGAGGGGGCAGGGCTCAGAGCGGGAGGGGGGGGGAAGAAGAGGAGAGGATGGGGCTCAGTTCGCCCAGCCGCCTGCCCGGGCAGCGGAGAGGAAGGTGCGGGAGGACGGGACCGGCCGCTGACGCAGCAGCGATCCATGGGCAGGAACGGCCTCTGGTGCGCGGCTCGCCGATCTTCCCTCTCCTTTTGCTTCTGCATCTTCTGCTTCCTCGATTCGATGCTTCTTCTTCGTCGATCCTCGTCGATCGTTCTTCGCGGATTCGATTCGATCGTCCTCCTTCTTCGTCGATCCTCGTCGATCGTTCTTTGCGGACCGCTGGTCGTTTGGGGAAACCAAAATTTGCCGATACCGCTTCTCCCCAGGCCTCTTCTGGGGTGCGCTCTGACCAGAATTTCGATGCAAATCCAGCGGTGGTGACGAGGGCCTCTCGGGAGACCCCCAAAACCGGGGCAGCGGTATGGGTACCGTTTTCTCCTCTGATCGTTCACTCGTTCTTCTTCTTCTTCTTCTTCACCTTCTTCTTATTTTTCTTCTTCTTCTTCTTCTTCTTCCTCTTCCTCTTCTTCTTCCTCGTATTCTTAATACTGTTCGTCTTCTTCTTTATCTTCTTCGATCCTCGTCGAGCACCAAGGCGGAATAGGCCACCCCCTCGGCGCCGAGCGCCGCCTCCCGGGCGCCCTCGGGCGTGGGCCACTCCGTGGGCCACTCCGAGGCCGCCTTGGCGGCCTCGGGCGGGCCAGCCGGCTC